CCTCACCGCTCCCCTTTCCTCTTTCCAGCCCAGAGAGCAGCCACGACGCTGGATGAGAAGATTGAGAAAGTGAGACAGAAAAGGAAGCTCCAGGTCAGAGCCTTTCTCTCTCGTTACTGGAAAGACTGGTGTGGGGTTGGCCTTCTGCTGCGCTCCCTCCAGAGGCACAGCTCCGAGAGCATCCTGAGCCGCGGCGCTCGGACCTCGAGCGGGCGGGCAGCCACACCTGCTGCCGTGCGGCACTGACGAGGGGGCAGAATTGTTAATGCTTAAGGTTATGCAAAAGCACTTATCTGTGAATGGGCTCATTGTAACAACAAACAAAAGCTCACAAAGGATTGAAATTTCTTTTTTATCACTTCTTTTTAAATTTTTTTTTTTTTCCAAAACTTTTCCTAGGAAAGAGAAGCTAAGCAAGCACAAGTGAGAGATGAAGATGCGGAAACTAAGGATAATCAAACAAAAACCAGGGAGTGTGAGGATTTCGGTAGGGACGAAGAAGATGTGGAGTCTCAGTATTCGTTGGATGATGAAACTATCTTCACAAAAGCAGGTATTAGCAGTACATAGAGAGATGGTGTCCTGGTTTCAGCTGGGACAGAGTTAATTGTCTTCTTGGTAGCTGCTGTGTTTTGGATTTAGTATGATAATAATGTTGGTAACGCATACTGTTTTAGTTGTTACTAAGTAATGCTTATATCAAGTCAAAGACTTTTTTAGCTTCCCATCAAAGCTGAGCAGAAGCGCAGGCAGAACAAGCTGGCCAAAGGAATATTCCATACTATAGATGTTATCTTCAATATATAAATGGGGGTTGGCCGGGGGGCAGGAATCATGATCGCTGTTTGGGACGGGCTGGGCAATCAATCACCAGGTGGTGAGCAATTGTATTGCATCACTCCTTCTGTATATTGTTTTACTGTTGTTATTATTTTCTTTTCCATTACTGTTCTGTTAAACTGTCTTTATCTCAACCCATGAGGGTTTTTTTCCTTTTTCTCCCTTTCTCCCAATTTTGTTGGGGGGGGAAGAGTGAGTAAATGGCTGCATGGTCCTAGTTGCCAGCTGGAGTTAAACCATGACAGAAGGTCAGGAGCAATAATCTCACAGACTGTTGGCTCACTGGAGAGAAGTCTGTAGCGAAGCCTTGCTGGGAGTGGGCAAGAACGTCTTATTTTTTGTTGTCTTCCTTCTGTGACGTTCCTTCTGATTTTGGTCAAGCTTATTTTGAATCATAGCCATAGTACTTTAATTGAACTTGTCCTGGAGAAAGGATATTTGCTTGGTGTTTTACTCCGTTGCATGCCTGTACTCGTTTCTTAGGCTTCTCCTCCAATAACTTGTTTAGAGCAAAAAGTATAAGATGGAGGTAGTCATCATATCTTTTTATGTGTTCAGCTGTACTTGTTAATTCCTGTCACTCTCCTCTTTCTCTGCAGATACAGTCAAAGTGAAGGAACGGAAGAGATCAAAAAAGGGAGAAGCGGTAAGTGACAGTAGGTCATTCTCCAGCATTTCTTCTGGAGGAATTTGACTTTGGTTAACAAACTGTAGCTGAAAAACCAGCCCAGAGCCCTTTGATAACATGTGTTGGTGCCTGTGTTGTTCCAGTTTTGTTGTTCTTGCTGTTTCTAGGAAGCAGAGAGCTTTTTTGAAGATGCCTCTCAATATGACGATAACTTGTCATTCCAGGACATGAATCTTTCACGACCTTTGCTAAAGGTATTGACCTACTTTAGTTATTAAATATGTTACTTTGAAGAGTGTTGTACAGTGTCCCTTCCACCAATCAGAACTGGTAAATTCTTCTCTTCACAGCCTCTCTATAAAGGAAATTATGTGGAAGCTAGTGTGATAGTCCTTTAGGAGCTGTTATCCCAAATAATGGAAACCATTCTTTGATTTGCAATTTGTCAACACTATCTTGAGTGAGACTTGTCACAGAGTCACAGAATGGCTGAGGTTGGAGGGGACCTCTGGAGGTCAACTTGTCCAACCCCCTGCACAACCTAGAGCTGGTTGCCCAGGACCATGTCTAGATGGCTTCTGAATGTCTCCAAGGATGGAGACTCTGCAGCCTCCCTGGGGAACCTGTGCCAATGCTCGGTCACCCTCACAGTGAAAAAGTGTTTCCTGGTGTTCAGAGGGAACCTCCTGTGTTTGCGGTTGTGCCCATTGCCTCTGGTCCCATCACCGGCCACCACTGAAAAGAGCCTGGCTTTGTCCTCTTTTCACCCTCCCTTCAGGGATTTGTATACATTGACAAGTTCTGCCCTCAGCCTTCTCTTTTCCGGGCTGAACAGTCCCAGCTCTGTCAGCCTTTCCTCGTATGGGAGGTGCTCCAGTGCCTTCACAGTCTTTGTGGCCCTTTGCTGGACTCTCTCCAGTATGTCCATGTCTCTCTTGTACCTGGGAGCCCAGAGCTCCAGCTGTGGCCACACCAGAGACAGTTTAATTGCTCTATCTCCTTTGTAGGCAATCACAGCTCTTGGCTTCAAGCAACCAACCCCAATTCAGAAGGCTTGTATCCCGGTGGGTCTTCTGGGGAAGGATATTTGTGCCTGTGCTGCCACTGGGACAGGTAGGGATTGAGCAGGGCACAGGAAACATGGAGAATTCACTATTCACAATAATTTGTAATTCTTGATTTTTCTTCTTTAGGTAAAACAGCTGCCTTCATCTTGCCTGTCCTTGAGCGCCTAATTTACAAACCTCGTCAGGCTCCGATAACACGGGTATTGGTCCTAGTGCCAACACGAGAACTGGGTATTCAGGTGCACTCTGTCACAAAACAGCTGGCGCAGTTCAGCAGTGTCACAACTTGCATTGCTGTAGGTGAGTATTCCGTTTCTTATGTGGACTGTACGGCTCGCTGTAAACTGCTATACAGAACTGGGAATTCTGTGTTATAAAACTGGAGGCTGTACGGTTATCACAGGCGTGCTTCTAGGGGTGTGCTATGGTTTAAAATCTCACTTTCCAGTACCGTGACATACTTTTTGAGTGTTGGTTTCTGAGAAAGAAAAGGTGGGGTCAGTTCTAATCGTGAATGTGGTATTAATCTGAGTTGTTTCCCATCCTCAGGCAATTTGGATTTGTGTACTTTGCTGCAACCTGCTCAGGGAGTCAGCAGTCCATGTTTGCTCTCTTTCAGGTGGCCTAGATGTGAAGACTCAGGAAGCAGCTCTGCGCTCCGGGCCAGACATTCTTATCGCCACTCCTGGGCGACTGATTGATCATCTCCACAACTGCCCTTCTTTCCACCTGAGCAGTGTCGAGGTGCTGATTTTGGATGAAGCAGACAGGTAGGCTTAACAGGACAGCAGTGAAAAATGAGATGGAAGTTTCCTGCTTTCCTTTTCCCAGGCTATAAGGCAGTCTTTGTTGCCCTGCCTTAAGTGATGTTTCTTATCTAGCACCAGATGAAGCTGCCCAACTTGCTGTTTTTCTGCTGTGTAGGATGCTGGATGAATACTTTGAGGAACAGATGAAGGAAATAATCAGGTTGTGCTCCCACCACCGTCAGACAATGCTTTTCTCTGCCACAATGACAGAAGAGGTAAGACAAGTTGCTGAGAAGCATATTGAGGCAGAAAGCTGAACAGAAGTTTGTCTAGTCTTTTATCAGAGATCACGTGGACTTCTTTTTTTCTCAACTTGTTTTGGTAGGTGAAAGACTTGGCTTCTGTTTCCCTGAAAAATCCCGTCCGAATTTTTGTGAACAGCAACACAGATGTGGCCCCTTTCCTGCGGCAGGAATTTATCCGGATCAGACCCAACCGAGAGGGGGACCGTGAGGCCATTGTGTCAGGTTAGTGATGAGCAAAGAAAAGCTGGAATCGGTAGGTGACCATGAAGCAGGCTCCTGAGAGGACCTTTTTTCTTTCAGCTCTACTGACGCGAACCTTCCCTGATCATGTGATGCTTTTCACCCAGACCAAGAAGCAAGCTCACCGTATGCACATCCTCCTCGGGCTGATGGGTCTGCGGGTTGGGGAACTTCATGGGAACCTCTCTCAGGCACAGCGGCTGGAAGCACTCCGGTATTAGCAAGCTTAGTTAGCGACTATAGGCAAAAAAGAAGTTAGGAGTTGGAAATTTTAGGGCAGAAGTGGATTGCTGTATTCATTGCTAATGCATTTTTTGTCTTTGTTCAGGCGCTTTAAGGACGAGCAGATCGATATTCTGGTAGCTACAGATGTGGCTGCACGTGGACTTGATATTGAAGGTGTTAAAACGGTGAGTATTTGCAGTGCTGAGCTTTTTAATGAGTCCTTCAATACTGTTTCCCTACTAACAGTGTTTCTGGTACAGGTAATCAATTTTACCATGCCCAACACCACCAAACACTATGTTCATCGGGTGGGTCGGACAGCAAGAGCAGGCAGGGCTGGTCGTTCAGTTTCACTTGTGGGTGAGGAAGAGCGCAAGATGCTGAAGGATATTGTGAAGACTGCCAAAACACCGGTGAAAGCCAGAATTCTTCCCCAAGGTACGCACTTCACTGAGGTAAAAAGCAGGAGAGCAGTAGGCAGGGAATATCATGATACAGAGGGACACTAAAAGAGGTGCTGAAAAACAAGATGGACTTTACATGAGCTGTTTCTTATGTTCACACTATTATTTTCAGATGTCATACTAAAATTTCGAGAGAAGATTGAGAATCTAGAGAAAGATGTGTATGCAGTTCTGTGCTTGGAGCGTGAGGAACGCGAGATGCAGCAGTCAGAGGCCCAGGTAAGGGTTTTTTTTAGGAATTTTTCTTTTACTTTAGTTTTTTAGAAGATATAGTGCATAAGGATGTTACCTTAATGTACTTGACCTGCCTACTTTTGAAAGGGAAGAGAGGGATATTTTTCTCGCCACCATGAGCTCACTTCTTGCCTGAATTATCTCAGATCAATAAGGCAAAGAAGCAGCTGGAGGGAGGAAAAAAAGAGACTGCGGGTGAGGGTTTGGAGCGGAGCTGGTTCCAGACGCGTGAGGAGAGGAAGAAAGAGAAGTGTGAGTCATGACACTGCTGCCATATTAAATTCCATAGCTGCAACTGGACTCTGGTCTGTACTTTAAGAGGTTCTTTATTCCATGTTTTTCTTTGTCTCTCCAGTGGCCAAAGCCCTGCAGGAGTTTGACCTAGCATTACGAGGCAAAAAGAAAAGGAAGAAATTTATGCAGGACAGCCAGAAAAAAGTCCAAATGACGGTGAGAATGTTTACAGACAAGTGGGACCCTTGGTGGACTATTCTAGTTTTCCCTTAGCAAAATCTCACATCACTGTAAACTTGCATTTTAACACTTTTCAGCCAGAGGAGAGGTCACAGTTTGAAATCTTGAAATCTCAAATGTACGCTGAGCGGTTGGCAAAAAGGAATCGCCGAGCAAAGCGAGCCAGAGCCTTGCCAGAAGAGGAACCAGCAGCAGCACCAGCAGGTGGAGACTTTTGTTTTACAGCTGACTTGTATTTGTAACAAAGTTCCCAACATGTAAACTAAATTAATTTGTATAGAGGGAGGCACTGGTCTGGTCATTGAAGGAATGGCCACCAGTGCTGGCCAGGGTGCGCGTTTGCAGAGGAGTTGTTACTTTTCCTGGTTAGGATAACTGTTGTGGTCAAAGCTACTGGGCTCTAGTAAACAAGATGATGTTGTGGCCTTCTTTTTACAGCCAATGCTCTAACTGTTGTCTCTGTGTTAGGCCCCAAGCGGAAGAAAAAACTGTCTGTGTTTGATGAAGAGCTTACCAACACAAGCAGGAAGGCTCTGAAGCAGTACCGCGCCGGGTAATGTCTTAGCAGTAGTACATTAGTCCAGACTTGAGTAGGTGGAATTTTTTTTTGCATCTCTGGACTTTCTCAGGGATATGTTGATTGATATTGGGGGGAAAAGGTGGGCACAACAAAGAAGGCATTCTTGCAAGAAGTACCTGTACTATTGATGTAATTCAGTGGGTTTTGTCTTACCTCCCCCCCTCCCTTTTTTCTCAAAAAGCCCATCGTTTGAAGATCGGAAACGCTTGGGTATGGCCCAACATAGGAAAGGAGGAAACTTCAAATCCAAATCCAGGTATACCTCTCCTTACTTTCTTGAACGTTCAAGTTGGAGGGTTTTTTTTTCCTGCTTTCTTTTTTCTCTTGTGATTGTTTAAAGGCCCTTGCAGAACCAACAAACCTTCAGCAGTAGCTTACTTTCCTACTGCCGGTCTGATGCTGGGGGCAATCAAGGATACTGCCTTTAATAGCACCTTCCTAGAAAATGCTCAGTGCTGTTCCTTATGTGTCATTGAAAGCTGGGCTGGTGGAATCTAATTTCAAGTATCTTCTCTTTCAGGTACAAGAGAAAGTAACAACTGTTCACAGTTACCAAATGGGTAATTCAGACAATGCAGACATTTCAGACATGCTCTCTCCAGGGCCTGGATTTCTTTGTACTGCAAGGAAACAATTTCAGTAAAACTGAACAGTATTTCTTCAAGTTCTGGAATAGCTTTGGGATGAATTATACCTGATTGAAAATACCTGATGGAAGACCTTGTGTGAAAACATCTTCAGCAGCCCATGCAATAAAGGATTGATTTTTTTTTTTTTTCTAAAAAGTTTGCTCTGTTTTATAAGATTAAGCTGGAGCATTACATCTTTCTACCAGACATTTAGTTCATTGTTTTTAGGGCATTTTAGCACATTTCTGTGCTTGAGAAACTATAACTAAAATGGGCAAAAAAAAGCTTCTTTCAGACTGTCACAAAGATGGTTTCAGAGATCATAGTTCATGGGAATTAAAACAAATCTCCCAAGAGGATACCGTCTGAAGAAAGGATTATCTCCAAAAGTGGGGGGGGGCAGACAGTTTCCTCCTAGCTGAAAAGCAAGCAGGTGCAAGCTGAAGCAAGAAGGGAAGACTACAACCAGAATGCAGGGTGGTTTGTTATTGTATGCAATTAATGATAAGTTTGCTCATTGTGGCTTGCTTTTTTTTGACTAGAAGCAATGCAGATGCACCTATAAAGATCAAGCAGGTTTACTGCAGGCTAGTAAACAGCAATTAATGCAGAGCATCCTAATAGAGGCACCATTATATTTACTCCACCTTTAATCAAGCAGGGAGAATTCTCTTAGTTTCATCAAAATGCTAAGCTCTTTCTTTGCATTTTTGCCATCTCCACCATCCCATTCTTTTTATCAGCCTTGCTAAGTTTCATTGATACACTTTTAATTCCTGTAAGGAATAGACCTAAGCAGCCCAGACCAACTGTTAACCTCTGAGCTGTCAAGATAAATTGAGTTTTTTGCTTCACACTTGCTCTTCTTCTGGGGTGACCCAAGTGCAGTAGTAAAAGGTAGGGGCTGTGCTCCTGAAATAGACCAGTACAACAGTGACTCAAAGTACTGGGTTTTCCAACTTTATTAAAAAGGGCAAACTTTACAAGCAGTAAATGTAAAATATACATAACAAAGTTTTGACAGGTGGTACTGCTGGGTGTATCGCCTTGATCAGTCTTCTCACAGTTCAAAGGTACATTATAGGGTATCATGGCCTTGGTGGACGCATGCCAGGTGGAGGGGGTCCTGGGAATAAAGGGACTAAATGTTGAAGAGGAAAGAGGAAGCAAGGATAAACCAGAAAGACATCTTCACCATGCTCAAAGTGGCCTTAGGATCCCTTTTTTGGCACAGAGACATTTATTGACGACTAGCACAGCTAGAGAGGCATTGAAAGGTATCGCCCTTCAAACGTTTTATGTTATGGCTTTTTATAGCTTCTAGGCATTTAAGATCACCTCTGCTCACCTCTCATTCCTGGGGGAGGTGGTCTCATGCCTGGTGGGGGCATTCCCATAGGAGCACCTCGGCCAGGTGGCATTCCCATCGGTGGGCCCATAGGCGGTCTCATGCCTGGAGGAGGTCCCATCATTCCTTACGCCAGAGAAAGAACAAGCACATAACTCCAGCTGAACAGTCACCGCACTAGTTGGTTATCAGAATAATCCTCCATAACACCAGTTTTTAATCAGACTCTGATTAATACCTCTACCACCAATTTTGCCACATAACACGAGCTCCCTGTTGCCCCACTGTATCTACAGAGTAATTCCTACCTGGAGGAGGTGCTCCTCTGCTCATGGGTGGGGGAGGACCCCCACGCCCTGGGGTGTATTGAGTTGGGGCTCCTGCTATGCTAGCAGTGGCTG